AGCGAGGAGTTAATCGATGAGGAACAACGTTGAACCTACTCGTTATGATCACCCTTTATTTTTAAAAAATGAACTATCACCAAAATAACCATTACTGACCATCCTTGAAAAAAGAAAGGTCGGGAAATAATTACTAAGGAATTAATCTTGGATATTTTACAAAATAAACTCAATGGACGAAAGAGATTAAAGCCTTTACCGGACAGTTATTTATTATGAGGTCGGGAGGTTTTTCGTTTTGAAACTACTTATCAGGATAAGAAATATCGTTTCTTTTTTTGACTAAAAGACCACACGATTGACCATCTCTGAATTAAAAATTGTCATCGGATTGACTAAATATAAAATTGTAAGACATTATGACTAATTCTAAAAACAACAAAACTTTTATTATCCAATATGATCCGACCAACTCCCCTCAGTCAATGTTTAAAGGATTTTGAGAAGCAGTGGATACAGACAAACCTAATATTCAGCCCAAAAACTTAATGGTGGTTGATAGCATCGAAACAGCTTATAAAATAATGACTCAACCCCGCTTGGAAATCTTTTATGCGATTAGTGAAAATAAACCCCAAAATATTAACCAATTAGCCGAAATGGTAGGCAAGGATGCCGCAAATGTTTGACGGGATTGCCAAGTATTAGCTAATATTGGCATTATCAAGTTAAAAAAAGAAGTTAAAGAAGTAAAACCAATTGCTTTATATGAGCGAATTATCTTGGATTTTCCTAATAGGGAATTATTCAGTCAAAAACTTTCAACCATTGCTCTTCCAATTAGTCATTAAAGGTGTTGAGGAAGTAGAAAGAAATAGTTAGGTTAATGGTTTGCTTAAATCACTAAATTTCAGCAAATGCCGGAACCAAATCTATAGTAATAGTAATAATTTCATAGAGATTTTATCACGGGAAAATTTTTTGTTACACATAATTTATAAATGCGCACATTCAAATAATAAAAATAATAATAATAACCTTTTTCTTTTCTTTATTTAAAGATAAAGATATTATCCTGTCCTTAAACTAATCAAGATTGCTGAAAAGAAATCATTTTTTATGTTATAAAAAATTTTTGGAGAATCATCTACAAATTACAAAATTGAAAATGAAGGCGTGAGAAGTATCTTCCTAAATATATTATCAATAAAGCTAAGCAAATGCATTCTTTGGGTAATCTATTCATTGTTTGCTTTGTGGGGAATAATAAGAGTGTTTACATAGCTAATGAAGATTTTCAGATTTGGAAATCATAGACTTGGATTAAGAAGATAATGATCCAGAATATGGTATTCAACTAGTGCATTTCCCAACAACACCAAAATCTGCCAAAGCAAACACCTTACCAAACTTACACTTTGTTGATATCAATGTAACCAAAGAATTATAATACCTTCTACATAATAATAATATTAAATGTTTTGCAATAATAATAAAATTTCTTGTATTTCAACAATAATTAATTTGTTTCAAAAGAAAATGTCTAATCATTATAAAATAGTTTCAACAAAAATTGAAG